ATAAAGAGAGAGAGAGAGAGAGTTGCATATGCATTACATTTACAACCCAAATATTTTCTAAAAACCTGGGATATTGTGTCACCTGTGAATAAAAGCAGAATGCAATGATTTGCATGTTAGATGCCTTCAGGCCCAGACCTCTTGTAGAAGAGATCTGTGATCTGAGTGGGATTCACCTGGTTAAAGAAAGGTTAGTGATAATAATAATAATTTACAAATCTAATGAATCCATATGTTATTCACAGCAGAACATGGTAAATAAAAACATCAAATTCTGAAAAAAATTAAGAAAAAAGGTTTTCAGGACCGAGACATTAATGAGCCATTGTGTCTGATAGAGCAGCTCGAGCTCTGAACATTCCTAGACCTTTTTCTTTTTATTTATTTTTTTATTTTTTACTGGAGGGTATAAGTTGTTCTAAAACCTGTGCAACCTTTCCTGGATTTATTGTACTTTTTCAGCTGCCCATATCAGAGGCACTAATCCACCCCCATACCATCAGAGAGGCTGGCTTGTAAGCTACGAGCTGATAACGAAGCAATGATTCCTCTCCGCTCTAAAACCACACAATCGTTTTCTTGGCCTCAGTCCATTTTAAAATTGGTTCAGAGAAAGACATATATCTCTCACATCTGGCTTCTTCTTTGCCTGATAGAGCTTTAAGCAGCGTGTGGCACAGTGGACTGTGCTTACAGATAGTGTTCCTGATCTACATGTATTTGTGTCCAAAACAGAATGAGAACAGTTTTTAATGCAGTGCAGCTGCCAGTTATCTGAAGTGTCAGCACTTTTTTAAAGCCTCTGCCCATCTTTACTTCTGAGAGCCAGCCTCTCCACGGTGCTCTCACACTCATTCCTCTGAGTTATCTGCTGTCAATCAATCTAACCAGTTGCTAAATGCTCTGCTCGATTAGTTGCACCACTCATACAGACTTTTGTTGTTGGTAATGTGTCGATTTTAGTGATTTTTTTAAATTATTTTTATTATATCTTTAAATAAATGGCCTCATGTTCTGAACAAGTTGTGCATTTTCTAAGTTTAGACATTTCACATAATGTTCATCCATCCATCCATCCATCATCTTTACCCGCTTCTTCCATTTTGGGTCACGGGGGTCTCCGGTGCCCATGTCCAGGAATTACTGTGCGAGGGGTGAGGGACACCCTGGACAGGTCACAAGTCCATCACAGGGACACATAATGTCATATTGTGAATAAAATTAGGATATGCAAAATTTGCTAATAATTGAATTATGCTTTTATTTAAATTTTACACACTTTCCTATTCGTTTATTTATTCATGCTACATTTTGTATATTTGATCGTTTTATTTTCAATCACTAGCTCCAGTTAAACTGATCTAAAAGACATATTTAACTATCACTTTTAAAGTCTTGGTACAGTGAGAGGATGCCCAGGGGGAATGAATGAATGAATGAATGAATGAATGAATGAATGAATGAATGAATGAGTCCCAGGTCTTCACGGTGTATGAGCATCACGCACTTCAAGTTTTCATGACCTACCGTGCAAGAAGCTGAACTTCCTGCTCACCGCCGGTACCGTCCTGTTCAGTCCCAGCACTCTGTCCAGATGGAAAGCAAACACCTCCGTGTTGTCCACGGGACTGTGGATCAGTCCACACTGTCCTCCACACACACGGTTCTGTTTGGAGTGGTTTTGGTTGGTCAGAGGAGCCATAGCTTCACCCTCAAACATCAGAACGGATGAAGAACCTCCAAAGGAAACTTCTTTCATGCGCAAAACTCTGGCATCAGCCAGAAAACGCATCGTTTCCAGGTCCTGCGCGCTGAACCAAGATGGTGCCATTTGGCTGAAAAGTCTGATAGAACTAACCTGAGAGTCTGCTCCATCATCATGAATTATATTCAACGATTTAAAACCCCCAGGAGGGGTTTGTTTCCAGGGCTTCTCAAAGGCGAGGTGCGGTTGGCCTGCGTGCTGCTCTGCGCGGAGTTTGTTCTGCGTGAGAGGAGGATTCAGGACTTTTCTTCTCACTTTCTTCCTCAGTTTGGGCCGGATGGTACCTCGTATGTGAGTTGGTTTACGTCGTTTAGATTTTAGCCTTATGTACACCACGTTGGATCGTGTTGGAACCACAGAACTGGCTCGGTTCTGTGCGTCTGCAGCAGCTGCGCCGTTCATCTCCACATTGTGCAACCCGCGGGTGTGCCGCCTCTGGTCCTCCGCAGCTCTGCTGCCCGGGTTCCTCTGTGGGAGTCCCACTTGAGAAATCACAAAACACAAATACACAACACACGTGAAGGTGATGAACAAACTTCTTCTGAACAGGGAACATTTCCGAAAGCTGCTGCTCACTTTCAGAAAAGGAAAACAAAACCAGTGAACACGAGATTTCCCCATTTGGAGTGATATCACTTTACGGTTGAGAGCCCCCCCCCCGCCCCCCAAACACACACACACACACACACGCACACACACACACAGACACACACACAGACTTAAGCTGGGGAGGAGCGCACAGCTTCCTGAAGTCATTTCAGGACAACTTTAGGCGCGCAAAGATCCAGACAACTGCCCCACCTGAAGTGCACAGAACTTATCTGTTGTTAATAAATTCATTTATTAATAAGAAAATAATAAAATAAAATACTTTACATTTTAGATTGACATTTGAGCATTTGATGTTTTTATTTTATGATTGACTTATATTTGTGTGTGTGTGTGTTTGTCAGAGTCAGAGATTCTTTTTTGTCACCGCGCCTCATGTGGTACATGTGGTGGAGCGAAATTATGTTCACAGGGTGTGTGTGTGTGTGTGTGTGTGTGTTAGGGTATATTTTGATGAAACAACTAAAGATAAAATAAAATCCTTCTTATGCACTATATTGACATCTTGTGATGATTCTCTTTAGTTTTGACACCCCCTCTTTTTATATATATATAAAAAAAACATGATGTGAAACTCAAAAGTTTTCTGTGTATTTTAATGTAAACGATTAATTTGTGATGTCATATTTGAAAAATGTGTTCTTATAAAGAAACAAGCCAGCGTAAATAGAAACAAATCTATAAATTCACAAGTTGTACTAAAGACCAATGATTTTATTGTCAGGTTTGACCAGTTAGAATGTTTTTGTATTCTCATTAGTTTCAGGCGACATCTGCTGGTCTGAGACAGATGGAGTCAGTTGAACTGAGAAGAATGAAATGAGGAAACAAAGACTTCCTCTTGTCTTAAACAGCCCAAAGAACGGACTTCCTGCTCTGCAAACAAGTTTAAATAAAGAACGCTTGTGTCTTTACTGGCGCCTTCATTGTGTCAAGATTGATGAGTTACTGAACATCTTCATAAATGGTTATGGAAATTAAAAAATAAATAAATAAATCAGGTCCTCTGGATGGATTTTTCTTCTTGAAACATTTCGTCTTTTATCCAAAAAGACTTCTTCGGTCTGAGGAGCTGCAACAACAGTTGGACGGTTTCTCTTCACAAAGATGGCCTCCTTCACTCCTCTCTCAAACCAAGAGGCCTCCGTGTCCATCAGTCCTCCTCTTACAATGTTGTTATTGATAGTATCACTCAGCCCTCTGCGAACAGCAAGCGGCCATCAGGGCACTAATGATCGGTCGTTAGGCTGTTGGGCCTCCTTCATCATGTGAACAGCTAGTTCTGGATGTCAACAACAAACTGGTTGATCCACTATGAGAAGGTGCTATTTATACGATTGAGTTTGTTGCAGCTCCTCAGACTGAAGAAGTCCTCCGGATGAAAGATGAAACGTTTCAACAAGAAGAATTCGTCCAGAGGACCGGATTTTATTCTCTATATATGTATGTATATTTCTACCTGGATTAAGGAGCATGCATCAGGAGGTTGTGGAAATGTTGCTTCAATAAATGAGCATTTTAATCTGCACATTTAGTTATACATCTAGGTCGCAGGGTAAATATTTTTGGAGCATTTGTTTTGTGCCGTGTTGCGTCTGCAGCTTTAAATCAAACTCCAGCTTCACTGATTGGATAAGTGGCAGCACCTGGCTGCTTTCAGTCTTCCTCTGGTGTCAAACATCAGTCTGTGGCAGTTTTTTAATATTGTTTGCTGGTTTTTGTTAGAAGGAAAATAAACTTTGTTTTATACGATGGCTCAGGTAAAAAGCTCCCCTCTGGTTTTATTCGTTGCCTTGTTAATGATGGCGAGCTGCTGCAGCACTGAAGGTGGGTGACCTGCTCTTTGGGAGATAAATGTGGTGCCGGGTGAGGTGGCGTGGTCATTAGATCTGTTTTATCACTGAACTCCTAGATTCAACAAACTGTGGCGAAACGTATGGACTTTGCAAACAGGAAAAGTTGGATTTCTTGAGCAACTCCACCAACCTCAACATCACTAACTTTGCTTATGGGCTGACTGCAAACATGGCCGCCGTGGTGTTGTATGGGAGCACCTTTGTTCCAGTTAAAAGAATAGAAACAGGGGATGGTAAGCATTTTGCTGTTGTTCTAAACTCCTAATATATGAGCGTTACCAGTGGTCTTGATGATCCATGTTGGTGTTTCGTGTTCAGGTATGTTCTATCACTGGGTCAGCTGTGCATCAATTTGGGTTGTTGCTGTGCTCGGAGACTTCGTGCTCCAGTCGCCCAAGTTCCACCCCCTTGCGATGCTTGGAGGAGCCATCTGGGCCACAGGTACTGTCTTTTGAAAAGGGAACTGGAAGCACGAATCCATCCTTTCATGTTTCTCTGGTTTGGTCTCGCATGGTGCAGAAGGTCCAACTCCTTTTGTTGCAGTCCATCGTCTAAACGGCTGTCTGTCAATTTCACTGTAACTTGTTGCAGTGTGCAGTTAATGGGTATATATATATATATATATAAATAAAAATATATTTTGGTAGATACATTTTTTTTTTTTTTTTTTTGCTTGGTGTTTTAGGACAAATTGTGCACATTAACAAAAATAGAATCATATTATTAGTGACCTTTTTTTGTTGTTTGTTCAGACATATAAATAAATTTGAATACTCACTGTAGTTTGGAAACTGTTAGTTTTGCTTTACTAATTTGGACAATTTTTTTTTTAAATAAATTTAACAAATTGCTCTTGGCAGATAAAACGGTTTGTTCCGTCCACACTTTATATTTTTAAATGCTTGTTTTTAAGAATTATCTTTGAAATTCAGCTGCAGACTTGGAAATGGTGAAGACAGCAGCTTAAATGAAAATAAAAAAGGCTAAATGCAAGCCATTCAGCAAAACATGAGCTTGTTTCTGACTTTTTTTTTATCCGCAGGAAGTGTAACCGTCGTTACCATAGTGAAGGCGATCGGCCTCGGTCTTGGGATTTTAATTTGGGGGTCTTCCAGTTTGCTGATGGGCTGGGCCAGTTCCAGGTAAATGAAAGTTCCTGTTTTTTTACGCCTGCGTTTAATTTAACGTAGAACAAATGAGAGGCTGTGTTTTGCTGCAGGTGTTAGACGGTTCTTCATTAACATCTGACTGTCTCAAACAGATTTGGCTGGTTTGGGATTGACCCTCAGGAAGTTTCCAACCCAATATTAAATTATTGTGGAGCTGCCTTGTGTCTGGTCAGGTAAACGTCTCCAAACCTGCTCTGACGTTTGTCTCACTCGGCAGCGTTTAATATTTCTGTTGTGAATGATTCGTGATCTGCTCCACAGTGGCCTGATCTTTTTCTTTGTGAAAAGCGACGTGAGTCTTCGTCCACAGTCGGAGACGGTTCCTTTACTTATCGACAGAGTGAGTAGACCATCAGTGACGCCGTTTGAGGAACATTTAGTTACTAAGAGAAAACATTTACTAATGTCCTGATTCATGCTCCATAATCCAGGTATAAAAAAAATCCAGTCTTCAGTCATGTCATGTGGACTTTTTATTGAGATGTTTCGCCCTCCATCCGAAGGGCTTCATCAGTCTGAGGAGTCACAAACTGGTTTCCCCACTAAGCAGTACACTCCTACATTGGACCAACAAGTTTGATGAGACAGTTTCTGGGGACTGTCCTCTCCCCCGTCGACTCCTCCCAGGCAACACAGCCGAGGTGGTTCAAGACCTCAAAGTTCATGCTCAATAATCCATTCATCGTTAAACGGGGGAGGAGGCCTCCATGTCCATCAGGGCACTAACGATCAGACGTTGGGCTGATGGTCCTCCACCATGTGAACGGCTAGTTCTGGTTGTCAGCAGCGAACTGGTTGATCCACCACGAGAAGGCGCTATTTATAAGACTGAGTTTGTTGCAGCTCCTCACACTGAAGAAGTATTTTGGATAAAAGATGAAACGTTTTAACAATTTTATTTTTATGTTTTGAATCTGTCCAGAGAACCTGACTTTGTTAGAATCAGTGACGCTGTTTGTTGGAACATGTTGTCACTAACAGAAAACATGTTCTAATGTCTTCCACAAGTTCTCCTTGCATTGTTACACCAGATTTTAGTTCTCACACAATACAGCTATATTGAGTAAAACAAAAAAAGTTATTATTTTAAAGATGTTTAACCCGACTTTACGGAAGAATCTGTCAGTTATGGTGAGACACGGTGACATTTTGTGAACTTGTATTTTCATCTTTTCAACAGAGAACCATTTCAGGAAGTTATGGACGACATTCCTCTGAATACTGGATCGATGCCGTCAGTCCGAGGAACAGGCGGATCATGTGAGCCGGAATCACACACGTTCACTTTGTGTACAAACGCCAGTAAATCTTCGCCAAGCTGTAATTTTTTTTGTATTCTTGATCAAACTGAAAGCCTAAAAACTGACAGTTTTCAAATCTACATAAAACTCCAGCTTCATGCAGACTTAATTAGATTAAACGCAGCTGTTCTTGTTACACCTGTAGTTCAAATAATCTCTGCAACATTAGGACCTTTGTCCTAAAAAGGTCAAACTGGTGAAACGGCTTTTCACCTCGTGTTAGTTCAAGGTGCAGGAATCGCATCGTAGTGGATCTTTATCCAGAGTGTGTGCGTTCTCTTTATGCCGGCGATCTGTTTATCAGCGTTTGTGAAATGTTGAAATTATCATACTAATTGAACAAGGTCTCAGGAGATTTAAAATCCCTGGTTCATTCAGTTCTTCACTCCATGTTGTATCCTTTTCATCAGCGGGTGCCTTCTTTCTGTCGTGTCCGGCCTGCTGTACGGAGCTTCCTTTGTGCCCATTCTCTACATAAAGAACCATTCATCGTGCCCTGACAGCAGGTTTTACAAAGCCAGCGTGTACGGTACGCTTCCACCGCTGGATAATTCTTCATTCTGAACCTTCATCTTGCTGTTGATCCTTAATGAGCAAACAATGAATGGAAAATTAAATGTCGTCGTGGCCATCAGCATTTTCTCCTCTTGGTCTATAAAGAGCACCGATCCCTCCCCCGGCACTCAATAAGGTTTAATAAAACTACATTTCTGCTTCTCTTCTCAGATCTTGACTACGTCCTGGCACAGACGTCAGGTGTTTTCGTTGCGAGCACGTTTTATTTTACCATCTACTGTGCAGCCATGAAAAGCAGACCCAGGGTTTACTCGAGAGCAATCCTCCCAGGTAACGGCTCATTTATCAGACGCTCTTCTTAAACTTTTGACTTGCTCATAATTCAAGGTAAGGATTCCATCCATCATCTTGCTCTTGTTCTAAAGTTGGGTCGTGGGGGCAGCATCTTGAGCAGGGAGATCCAGACATCTCTCTCCACAGCCTCTTCCAGCTCTTCTGGGAGAACCCAAAGATGTTCCCAGGCCAACAGAGAGACATCTCTCCAGCGTGTCCTGGGTCTCCTCCCAGTCAGACTTGCCCAAACCACCTCATCTGGCTCCTCTGGATGTGGAGGAGCAGCTGTTCCACCCCGTCTCTCCTGATAACTGAACTTCTCCCCCTGTCTCTAAGGGAGAGTCCAGCTACCCTGCAGAGGAAACTCATTTCAACCTCCTGGATCCTCGATCTCATTCTTTCAGTCTCTACCAGAGTTCATGACCAGAGGTGAGGGGAGGAACGTAGACCGACCAGTAAACGGAGAGCTTTGCCTTACAGCTCAGCTCCCTCTTCACTACAATGGACCGGCACAAAGTCCACAATACTGCAGATGCTTCACTAATCTGTCTGTTAATCTCACGCTCAGTTCTTCCCTCACTCGTGAACAAAACCCTGAGATACGTGAACTCCTCCACTTTAGGCAGAACCTTGACCCAAACCAAATTAACACTTTACAGAAGAATCTTGCTGTTCTAGAATTAAAGGATAAAACGCACTATTTTTAAACGCCTCAAATAAAAATAGTTTGCTGCAACCCTTGACAAGAGGCGACAGGTGTGCATGTTCTGTTTAAATGAGCTGAGCACACATCACACATCTACATCAGCTAAAGGACTACCCAGTTTTTTCCACACTTTGTCTCGAACCATTTTGTGCCTGAGAGGCCACTGAAGCTAAAAATAGTCCAGCTGACCCTGAACGAGTCCACAAGAATCAGCTGTTGTGGTGGAAATGCCACTTCCTGTGGCTCATTCTTAGGCAGGGAATGGCTTTTATATTTTGACCTACTATTCAGAGCTAGTGAATATTGTTTATAGAGTGACTGAAATGGATGAACTAGTATTTAAAGTCTGATTTGTATAGATTCTCTTCATGAACTCCTGCAACTCTTTCTGGTTTTGTTTTGTGCTTCAGGGTTTCTGTCTGGCCTGATGTGGACCGTTGGAACGTACTGTTGGTTCATGGCCAATAATTACTTGACTTCCGTCATCACCTTTCCTGTTGTCACCGCAGTAAGTAGAACATTCTCCAAGAACTGATTTAAAGTAAAATAGTTGTTTTTAAAATAACCTTTAATTAAAGCTTTACACGTTGTTCAATTTGAATCTTTTTCAAAGGAATGTTAAAGCATCTGAGCAGCAAATGTATCGACCATTTATTGTGCATCCTGGAAGTCTGCAGGTGTTTCCAGTAATGTTTCTTCAAACTAGAGTACTATGCAGCGTGTACTTCTGTGTATTTGGACTGGGATGGGCTCAAGAAATGAGTTGGTCCAGAGTTTTAATTAGAACATTATTCATCGAACAAAGGTCATTTTGAGGTCAGACATACAAGTACATGTTTCTAAATGAGTTGCTGGATTTTTTTTTTTTTACCAATTTGTTTACTTGTGAAAAAAAATTCCACATTTCAAGTTGTCATGTTTCTTCAACACACTCTCCTCTCCAAGATTGATTTTAACTTTTCGAAGTACACAAATGCCTCCTGACGGAGCTTCAGAGCTCCCAGCACCATCACTGTCCAGAATGTTCTGCTCATACTGGACCAGCTGTATTTAACCAACAGGTTCTCTCATCAAAACACCATTTTGATGGATTTACAGCCTAAAGTGTAGAAATCACAACATTTATATTTTCTGACTGAAATTAAACTCAAATTCTATCCATTATCTTACACACTTCATTTTCGGCTTGTGGCGGTCACTGTGTGAGAGGCGGGGACACCCTGGACAGGTGGCCAGTCCATTGCGGGGGACACCCTGGACAGGTGGCCAGTCCACCGCGGGGTGCATGGAGACATACGAGACAACAATTCACTCTCTCACCTTGGGACAATTTAGTTACCAGTCAGCCCAACATGCATGTTTTTAGTCTGTGGGAGGAAACTGGAGCACCCGGAGAAAACCCACGCAGCACGGAGAGAACATGCAAACTCCACCCAGAAAAGTCCACAGTGAGAGAATTGAACCAGTGACCTTCTCGATGAGAGGCGGCAGCTCTACCAACTGAGCCACTGTGCCACCAAGAACTATTAAATTAGTTTAACATTTCTCGTTGCAATATTCCATTTATGGGAATAAACGTCATAACGTCGAACAGTATTCTTGACACTAGGAACTTTAAAGGAAGGAATAATTTTGTAAAAATCAATTTAAATGAATTGAATCAGTCTGTGATTGATTGCTTTTATTTTCAACAGGGTTACGGTCTGGTTGCAGCCCTGTGGGGATCCTTGGTGTTTAAAGAAATTAAGGTAAAGATCCAAACGTTTGTCGATGTCACATTTCTGAAATACTTTGTGATGCTTCTTGAAAGAACTTTGAGTTCCACAAGGAGCGGCAGATGTTGGTTACAATTTGCTTCCTCCCTCAGGGCACAGTGAACTGCGCCATCTTCTTCCTGGCGTCATGCGTGGTGCTGACTGGCTCTTTGCTCACCGTCTTTTCAAAGTTCTGAGTGAGCAGAACACGATGCAGAACGAATGGATTTGTCCAGAAACTGTTAAATTCCTTCATTAAAGTAATGCCATGTTTTAATAAAATAAATAAAACTTGTATCCTTTTTAGATGAAAGGCAAAATGGAGGGCACTTGATGTATTAAAAAAAATCTTTGGCATTAATAAAAAAATATATTTATTGAAAATGTTTGTCCTGTTTTGGTTGAAGCAAACAAAAAGCCGCATGTTAAAACATTTTTCATAACCTGGTTGAGGAATTGTTAAATAAAATGCCATGAATTTATTGTTCAAAGGTGGTGCTGGTTTTTACTTCAACAGTTAATCAGTTTATTTTCAATCAAATGTAACAACACTTTATCTTTGCTGTTAATATAATGCATTCATGATTTAATTGGGCTTCATTTAAATTGTTTCATATCCAGATGTGTCGCTCTAAACAAATTACTAGTTTGGTTTAAAGTATAAAACTAGAAGTCGTAACAGAAGGATTTTAAAAATGCAGCTGCCAGGAAAAAGACCTATGGATGCATTTAGAGAGGACGTGGAGGTAGATGTGAGGACAGAGGACGTGGAGGACAGTGAGATTCTCACTGTGGAGACCCTGAACAGCTGAAAGAAGATGGTTTAAAGTATAAAACAGTTTACATCTTAAGTTACTTCTTGCATAAAACCTTTAAACAAGCTTGTACTAAACCATAAACACAGACGTCAGTTCTGAACAGAGTGAAAACGATGCATCTAAAACCTTTTCAAACATTTGTCACGTTTTAAGATGATTGCATTTAGTTTGTTTAAATGTTCACACGCACATCCTGGTACTTGAGACACGATGACATCACTCATGCACCAACACCTGAACTGATTCTGCACAATTCCTGATTTACTCTCAAATTGCAGTTATCAAACACGCATGTCTTCAAATCATTTCGCACAATTTCATGAAGAAACTCTTGTTTTCACAAGGAACACGTTAATTTCTAAAATGAATTGCTCTACTCTGCACACTGACTCATCCCACGGGCAAACCCTGTTCGGTTGTACAATTAGCAATCGGAGCTTTAGCACAAAAGGGCAACAGGTGAGCTCTTCTGTTTTGGAGCAATAGAGGCCAACACTGGAAACAGGCAGGGTAAGAGGAGGAGGAGGATGACGAGGAAGGCCAAGCACCATAATCTCTGATTAGATCCGAGAGACTTTGGTTCACCACGTGCTCAACCATCTAACAATGAAGGGGGCTGGACGAAGAGTTCAGCTACACCGTAGCAACGTCCAGACTTTCTGAAATGAGAATAGATAAATGTACTCTGACTAGAATACTGCAGTACTGCATATCAAGAAAGTACTCAATGAATACAGTAGTACAGTATTGCCAGTGGACTGTTCTGTAGGACTGAAAAGATAAAGTATGTTTCAAGAATTTGGGAAATGTATTCCTACACAGTCTTTACAGTATTTTTACTACGTACGTTTCGCTGTATAAGTCACACATTTTTGCATAAATTAGCTTCCCCTGCGCTACGACTTGTACAGCGAAGTGACTTTTTTATTTTTTCCCCATATTTATAATCCAGTTTTTGGCTGAGATCAGACAATTCCATTCATTCTGACATGGAAAATATTGAACACTACCATTTTCAGCCACGAGAGGGCGCTCAAGCATGACGAGCCAAGTGCCTCATTAATAGGTGAAAGTGGTTGTTAATGAGACACTTGGCTTGACACACAAAGCCACCTTCGTTTAGCTCCGACACTCCTGGATCAAATGTCAAATCAGCTGCATTTCGCCGTGCCGCCCAGGTGAGATGCAGCTGATTTGACCCGTTAAAGTGCATTTATTAAGAAAAGTTAAACTGAGACACACCTGCACTATAATGGTTCAATAGATTTTCATTGAGGGATTTGACATTTGGTTGAAACATGTCAGGCCCAAAGTGTCTTAACAGCCACAGGTTATTAGTGGCAACTTTCCAAAGATACATTCTCTGGATCAGCGCATCCTTCTTGTTTTTCCTGGTTTTCATAGCAAAAAAGTTTCAATAAATTTGCTCCAACTTTTCTAATGTGAACTGTAAAAGGGAATAGAAAATGAAACCATCTCAACCTGACAGTTTCAATTTAGGTCAGGCAGAATGAAAACATCTGTGTGTGGCATTAGTTTAAATATTTCATGTCGGTGCTGATGTTTGGTTTAATTAGAGCCTGCAGTTATTTTTGTACAATCACCGTGTTGAAGTGACCGGCAGCCGACCGCAACCACCAGAACAACAAACCGATAAAAAGAGAACCAAAGCCCGTTAGCTGATCAAGTGAGGACTTCATTAAATTGAAGATGTGGACTCATTTATTGTTATTAGCTTCAGTGTAATCCAACATTTAGTTGTCAGATGTAAATCACAGAAAATATTCCTATTTTATGGCATTTAAGAAATTATATAAGTACTGTTTCAGCACATTATAGAAAAATGCAAATTAAAAAATCAAACAGGAAGAAGACTAAATGATCTTGACTTTAATATTAGAGGCTTTTAATTTGAAAAGTTTCAATGTGAATGGTATAACATGAGGGATAAATGATATATGAAATGATCAAAAACATCTTTAAATAAAAAATAAAAAGTACTGGATGACTAAAAATAAATACATTGACATCCCACAATAGTTCCCCAGTTTTGTTTTTTTTTTCACCACAAAACAATCCAAAAGGAAAAATCATTTCATTCAGTACTTTTCTACATGACAGTTAACACACACACACAAATAAAACTATGAGGAGAAGATCTGTTGAATTTTATTTTTAAGTATACGTAACTATCTTAAAGTAAATTTTGTTGTGCTCTCATTTTTCAAGTGATAGATCTGAATTACTGCCTTGCTAAAGGACTCCCTCTCTAGTGTAACCTCAACATCCGGACAGTTAATGTTATATTATTTTCACGCACCCTTCCATTGCTGCAGAATTCATTTCAGTCAGTGACTCTGGAGCCCTTCTACCTGCTCCTTCTTCCACTTTGCGAACTCCACCATTTTTAGCGAAGACCTTTCACTGATTGTGTGTTAAACTGCCCTAACTTCCATTTACTCTGGTCCTTTCGTACAGCAGCAGTTTCTTCTTGCATGTCCTCCAATAAGTCAAATGTGTGTTGGCGAAAACTATAGAATCACGATTAATTTGACAGCAACGGCTGCAGTTGTGACCAGATAAGGAAGACAATTGTTCCTCGTTGCGGAGCAAAAAGGGGGATCGTAAAGACCCTCCGTCCATCCATCTGTGAATGTCGTGAGCACAATAACTTGAAACAAATGGCGAGATAACTTCCACTTTGGTGTGTGGCTGCATCGAGGCTTTAGAGGGTTTTAGAAAATTGAGTTGCCATATGAAAATCCAAGATGGCCACCTGCACACATATGTAAACCAACAGCTTCAATCATTTGAGGAAATAAAGCTTTCTAGTTTTTTATGTTGTTTAAATTAATAATTTCCTCAAAGGAGGTGACCTTTATGGTGGCTGAAGAATATTCTATGGTGGTCAAAGCCACCATTTGCCACCCCCTGCCTCTGCTCCTGGTTGAGGATAAAACTGTTCCCTCCGCCCTCGAGGTCCCTCACTCTGTTCTGCCTCTGACAAGAAAAACTTACATCCGTTCTTCTCCACAAGTAACTCGTACTCACTGAAGTATGTTGCATCAAAATATTAAGGTTTACTCACATCACCTGTTGGATCCCAGTCCAGTAATGAAAAAAATAAAAAATGTCAACATTTACTATTCAATCCCTCAGCATCAGGGGATATAGGCTTGTTTGAATCTTTATTGCATGAAGGTTTCCATAATCAATAAATTAATAATGGTTCAAAATGATAACTTCTTCATCCTGACTTTGTACAGTCTACTCATCTTGTCCACGTCCTCCTCAACCAGCACAAGTCATAAACTTTATTTGTAATTTCAAACTCAAACTGACCGACCGGTACTTGGAGCATCTCATGAATGACAAATGATGGTAAATCTGGTGAATCATCTTGGAGTCATGGAAGATGTTGTGGAATTTGTTTATGTGATGCTGGTTTTACAACTGAAAAATAAGACGTTTGTTGAACTTCTGAATCAGACAAAATGTTGTGTTCGTATTTATGATGAAAAGTTTGTCTATTTTCAAGTCTTCAAGAACTTCGTATGCAGCGTGATCAGAACACGAGCAAATGTCTCATTGACGTCTGGAGATAAATGAGCAGAAAATACTGAAATAAGGTTTTTTTTGAATGAGCCCAGAATAAAAAGAGTTAAGTTTAATGTAGACCAAGTTAAAAAGAAGTCAAAACGTGATTTCCATGAGCAGCCGAGAAATTACTTTTCTGCAGTTTCAAAAGTAACTTTATTAACCAAAAAGAATATTTCAACATGTGCAGGGATGGGACAGCTGTTAAGTGGAAAAATAAAAACACGTGTGCATCAGTCAGCTTCACGGCAAAAGGAATAACAAATCGGAAACATTTGCTACAGCCGGGACGTTTTCAGCTGTCAGGGTCAGAACGATGATTTTAAACAAACGTCTTCTTTAATGTCCTTCATGTCAAGCGTTGTATCACTGCCTGATGATGGATTTTTAAAAATCAAGTTTATGTTTGCACAAACATTAGTGAAGGGCACGCTTTTAACCTAAAATCTGCATCTATTCAGACGAAAAGTGTGTTTCTGTATTCTGTTGAGACTTGTGTCTTAATGTATCTAAACTGGTAGATGAGGTTTTGCAATCAGATAAGTGTAAATTAAGCATTTAAAGTGATAAAGATATAATATTTGCACAATCTTTGTCAACTCTGAATCAAACAGGATCCGTATCGAGGGATGCTGAATGTTTGGATCCTTCAGTCATCTTATAAACAGAATAAAACTGTCCCACTTGTCAAAGAGTTTTGCAAATGAAAGTTTCTTTATACACTGTTGATGTGTGTGTTTCCATCATGTATTAAATTTTCATCAAACGCAGTAAAGTGCTTCGGCTTTATGTGGCCGCTGTTTCCATTCTTGGCTGCCGACCTTCCTTCTACTTCACTTAATTCACCGGTCTCGGTCTGTTGCTTCAGACGGGGCCTGCAGAGAGAAGGCTGCTGTAAAAATGGGGACAGTCAGTTATTTTTTATTTTATTTGTTGTGTGTGTTGCTCATGTTGTATCACAGAAGAGTT